TGACATAGATGGTTACAAGTGTTGTGACAATGAAACTACTTGAGAAGGGAGGTAAAACAATTAATAGAGAAGGAAATAATTTTTTATTTGTGTTTTATCTTATTCTCGTAATGCACAAAATTAAGTATAAATAGGATGAAATAAGTATAAATAAAGGTAATAAATTGTTGGAGGACACTCTTATTATGAAAAGACATCATAAACAAGGAAATATTATTTCAATGGAGTTCTTGACAATTTAAATCATCACTTTTATTGGTTTTTTTATCAGTTTCTTTTTTATCCTTAGTAATGGGTTAGATTCACTCTTCTTGCACATTTACATTCCCAACACTTTACATTTCTTGCACAATTACTTTCCTCACACATTTACTTCTCTCACACAATAATGGATTAGATATACTCTTCCTGCACATTTACATTCTCAACGCTTTACTTTCCTTACACGTTTACTTTTTGTGCACTTTACTTTAATGTTTAATCTAATATTGAAAATCCAAATCCAAAATCAAAATTTATAATCAAGAATTAAATTACTATGGTCAAAACTTAATTGGAAAAACTCTCTAAATTGGAAAATTTTTACTTGCTAGTTTAAATAAAAAGAACCCACAGGTGTTAAAGTGGTTCATTTGATTTTATAAATTATAATACAAAAGCATGTAATAAATTGCATATATTAATCAAATATATCAAACATAATTAACAAAGTTATGTAAACTTTCAATTTCATATGTACCAAATCTCTAACATGATTTACTCCATTGTTATCAACATTTTCTTAGTACTTGAGGTACCCATAGATCCCAAACAACATTGACAACATGCCTCTTAGGTCAATACTAGTCTTATATTAGTGTAGGATAGCAACCATTTAGTAATACGGACTAGGGATACAATGTGTGTGCACTTTACCCATCAAAACAATAAGTACCATTGAATTGTCAGTCGATGATTAAATGTGTGGCATGTGATAACCCTTAAGCTTAATGTATACATCAAGGTTTGACAATTCCATGACCTCTCATATCCTTAGTGGTGGATCTTGACCATTGATCTTGGAGGGGGCCAAATAATATATTATTAATAAATAAATATAAAAGGAATAAAGAAGATAAAATGGTGAAAGGATAAAATTGTAGATATATACTTAAATATATTAAATGATCATTAAATTTGAGGGGGACAAAATCATAAATTATATGAGAGTTACAAAACTGAGGAGACTGAGAGGATAAAGTTGTAAATATATAAGTAAATATATTAAATTTTCGTTAAGTTTGGGGGGCCAAAATCATAAATTACATAGGAGTTACAAAACTTTTGGGGGGTCACGATCCCCCTCAGCTCCCAAGAAGATCCACCACTGCCCCTTCAAATCTCCAAGACCTCATCCTACCTATCCAATGTATCTTTGTACTATCCAAACTATTTCTTAATGGCACCAACATCACAATTTTTATTTATCTTCTATCATTTTCATAGCCCATTCTCATAGAGCTCAACATTTCTATCTCAATACCATCCTAATTTAATCTCATTCACATTATTAATTCCATATCATACCATCACATGCAAACCAATATGTATCGTCATATTATTAAATCATCCTATCATAACATGCCATGAAATTTCCAATTTGTCATTATTTATAAACAATTTATAAAACCAATAATAAAATAATGACCGTTCATTAGTTTTAAGGAATTTATTTTATTGGAATTTTATTTATATTAATCAAGTAAACTAAATCAAGATGATTAATTGAGCTAATAATTAGGTGTGTTAACTTAGATAAGACGAGAATAAGAAATTATTATTAGACAAGTTTACCCTAGCGAGCTAGTCAAACTAAATGAGTATGGCTAGATGAGTATCCTACTCGAGAAATTTATCCAAATAAACCACTCAAGTAAAATACTTAAGCAAAACGATTGAGTAACCAAGAAGGCTAGATGAGTTGGTTGAGCTTATCATTAAGTAGGACAAGTGAGACTACTTCAAATAGATCAAACAAGTAAATCCTTTGAATATATTAGTTAAGCTTGTCATTTTCTTGACACAATTTGGTTGAGTTTTCATCAATCGAGCAATGTCAAATGGGTTAGTCAAGCACATTATTTACTTGAGATAGGTCAAGTGAGTGGTCACAACTCAAGTAAATTTAAGTGAGTCAGTTGAGCATATCATTGCTTTAATGTAAATAATCATTAGTCGAGCCTCATTATTTACTTGAGATAGACTCAGGTAAGTTATCCTCAATCGAGTGTATGTTTACTTTAGACAAACCAATTAAGTTGTTCTTAGTCTAGCATATTATTTACTTCAAAGAAATTAAGTTAGTTTATCTTTATCAAACATGTCATTTACCCGAGATAGATTAATTTGGTGGAAATTACTTTGAGAATACAAGTCAAGCATATCACTCGAGGAGACCAGTCAAGTAAACCATCATATTAGTCAAGCATTATGAGACCCAAAATGGGCAATAGATGAGTTAACCCATATCAATGATTTTTACTATCATTCATAAAATCAAATATTAAGTTTTCTCTAAGCTTTTGTAATATATAGCACAAACTTATGTCATTCTTTTAAAGACACATATTGTATTCATTTTTTTAGTTTTCATTTGGTAGAAAATAAATTAAGGTTTTTAAGGTTTATAAAATTAAAATACAAATTGAAATTAAAAACACAAATCAAAACCTAAATCAAGAATAGGAAAATAGATTGATCCTCATGTTCAAGAATCAAATAATCATTTTTTCACAGTTCTCTAAAAATTTAGATTAAATTTGAATAATTAATCAACTAAACTAATTATACAAATTAAATCAAAGTATAATTCAATATAATTCATGTTTAATCATCAAATCAAGATTCAATTGATTCCTAATTTGGTTCTAAATTCATAAATGTAAATTGTAATTATAAAGATCAAAACTAAGATTAGAGAAGAAAAAACAAACTTAGAACCTGAAATGATTGCTACAAAACTCAATCTGGCTTATTTAATCTTGGTCTCATGAATTAATCCTCAAAAAAATTATTTAAATGTTCTCAAATATGATGCAAACACAGGCCTAAATGTGACCTCAAATTAGGTCTATAAATTCAATTACAAAAGTTAAGCTAATATAAAGAAAATCTAATTTGCACGAGTTGTTTTACAAATTTTAGTAAATTTGTCTCAATTTCTAAAAATTATAACAAATAGTAAAAACTTCAAATTTAGCAAAACATATATTCATTTCAGAGTCATAGAAATCTAGAATCAACTAAAAATAATATTTACAGAAAAAAGTTATAGCCAAAATAATGAATAAATGTCATATGAGTTCAAAATACAATATTAAAATAAATATATACATTGAAACTAATTCATTACTATTAAAAAATGAGTAAAAAACTAAAAATAAAAACAATGAAAAATATATTCATTGATAATAAAATTATAAATATATGTAAAAAATATGTGTTATTAATCTATCATTACAAATTGATTATTTGACAAGTTTATTATTATAGCAAGTATTATTAACCATTAGAAAATACATCATCTAATGACTTATTATAAGAATTACTTTATCTAATCTAGTTCTTTATTTTTTCATAATTTCAATAAATTCATTTATAAAATTTAAAGCATAGAAGTGAGACACAAATCTTCAAATTAACTTATAATTTAAATTCATAACATTGGGATTAGTGTGGATGAACGCCCCTTTACCTAGAAATGGCTCGAACTCCCCAAAGACAATCTATTTTTTCTTCGAACTGTAAGAAGCTTATTAGAAGGACTTTGTTTTTGTTTTGGTTGTGAATGAAGACTGATCTTATGTTTATATTTTTAGGCTTTTGTTAATGGAAAAATCAAGCTAAGTTGGTACTTGTTAGACAAATGATTAGTTACTATTAGAGGGTTTATCTCAAACTTGGATGATCATGTAGAGAGTTAAAAAAACACAAGAAAACTAGTCGCTGGTGTTTTTTAGGGTAAATAAGCGTTCAGCAAATTGAGAGACATTAAGTTTTAAACAATTTTAACTATTCTAGCATATTGAGAAGATGCATTAAAGCAAAAGGTGAAAATAAATTCACTATTGAGTATTACATTTGAGGGGGAAAAAATATAACGAGCTTTCGGTGCAAATATAAACTACCGGAGAGTACTACAATTTGGAATGGCAAGATACACTGGTGGAAACTCAACAATTCGCAGGTATGTAAAAGAAAAATGACATGTTTTCAGCAAATTACAGCAGGTTACATGAATAGTTAACAGTGACAAGGACCTAACCTATCACCACATCCCACAAATTGCCTTCTACTTGAACACATAACAGAGTATAACAGGAATGGAAATATTAAGACAGGGTGGTCTCAATCAACTTAAAACTCCAAGATAAATGTGTTTTGAAAGAATTACTGCTTCTTTCAACATATTTCATTGTCACAACATTTGAAAACATCAACCTAAAAGAAACAAGTCAAACAACTAACAAGAGGAATAATCACCCAAAAATGATTTTTCTTACAAAACTAAAGAGCAAAGAAAGCCACACAACACCTCATAAGAAAACAACAACAAAAGCAAAAATTTGAATAGAAACATTTAAAATGGATTAAAAATGTTATAGTACCAGAAAAAAAAAAAAAACAGGAGTTGGGGTGCCAAACAGGTATTGCTTATATTATGCATTTGGGTTCGCACACAGGGTCTGAGGTGAAGAACTAAGGAAAAGTCCAAAGTAAACTCTCCAGTTATAGTCTGTGTGTGTATTCTACAATTTAAAATCTACAAAAAAAATGAAGTAATCCTCCACAAATAGTCCAAAACTAAAGTAAAGAGACATACATTGCCGCAAACTATTATATAATTAACAATGACAAGAATTCGCAATAGCTCAGCATCATTTTATGCATCTAGTACAAACATAAAAGTCACAGCATCTAAATTCTACAACACCGAGGAAAAAAATCAGGCATCTACAAGACTAATGACCCTTAACCTTATCATCTCCCACAACATTGAGAATGGGCAAGCTACTGAGAAACTCATCAAGGCCTTCAAAAAACCCAATCCCTTCAATATTATCCTCAGCATGTCCAGCAGCATTCCCTTCACGATCGCGCACTCCACGGGAAGGCTCCTCCACCTCATTGCTGAACTCTACATTCAAATCCAACTTCCCCAAGTTTCCAGCACCCTTCCTTCTCGAACCACCCAACGCAGCCTTCTTACTAGGCTCCGTCTTTGCACCAGAAGTCAAAGCAGTGACAGCATTAGCTTTGGCATTAGCATCAGCACTAGTATTAGCACTAGCACTAGCACTAGCACTAGCAGGATCACCAGAACCCACATTCTCATGCCCTGTACGAACACCCCTCCTAGGTCTTTCCACAGTTTCCCTCCTTCCATCACCAGAATTTTTATTACCTCTACTCCTCTTCTTCCCCCTCCTCTTCACAACTCTCCAATCCCCATCACCGGAATCTTCATCACTCGGGTCGGATAACTCGATGAACGCGGCGGCAGCCTCGTCATCATAGTAATCCCAATTCCTCTGAGGCTTCCTATAAGATGACCCCCTCAAAGGGCAAGGAAACAAAGGGGAAAACGGGTTCCAATTGGAAGAAACCCCGTTCACGTCCTTCGAATTCCCAGAAAACCCTAACGGGAAAAAACCCCAACTACAATAGGAACCATCTTTCCCAGTAAACGGCGGCGGCGAACGTATCACCACCGCGTGAAACCCCCTCCGGCAACTCTGACACTTCAAGGTACACTCCTCGTAACCCTTCGGATATTCATACAAAACGTAACAGTATGGGCACGAGGTCCAGAAACTCGTTCCCTCGTCGGATTCTACGGTTGGAGTCTGCCGAGTTGACTCGGTAGACTCGGGACGATTGGGGTTCGGCCGAGGCTCGGCCGAGTCATCCCTCGATCTAGCATTTCGCCTGGGCATGGGTTGCGGAGGAGGACGCGGGGGTGACTGCGGCGGCGGAGTGGTGAGTAGCCGGAGATCGCTGTCGTACATGGCTTTCTTGGCGGGGTTGGAGAGTACGGACCAGGCCTCGTGGACGAGTGAAAAGGCGTGGCTGGAGAACGCGAAGAGGTTGCGGCTGGGATCGAGGAGGAGGGCGAGGCGGCGGTACTGGGCGGCGATGTGGTCCATGTTGGTGGTGTAGCGGAGAATTTGGAGGATCCCGTACCAGTCGCGGTGCTGGTCGTTGATTCGCGACTCCCCCGCCAGGAGCGTGTCGATCACCGTCAAGAGGTGCTCGGAGGCCTCATAAGTCGGGTCGGATTCACGCGCGCGAATCGCGAAGGAGCGCGCTCCGTGCAGGTCACGCGCGCTTAGCAGCTTGTTGGCGGTATACAGCCACCGCTCCGCCTCCGCTCGGTTTCCTGCGCCGCCGCCGCCGTCCATGGTGGCTCTCACTCTTGAAAACGGACAAGAAAGGACACGGGCTGTGAGAGATTCACGATGAGTGGAGCGAGGGCAGTTTCGTCATATCGTACGGTAATAACTGAAATGAAATTAAATGATATGATACGACATGGATGCTCTATCATGGTAGTGCTGAGGTGAGGCATGGCCAATGTTATTATTTTAACCCCTTTTTTCTCTTAGTTTATTAATTTTTTATTGTACGCTCCACTCCATGATAGTTTAGGTGCTCTCATTTCATTTGGCAATGGCCAGTGGCACACTTTTGGGAGAGAGTGTTGCGTGGTGTCGTTGGATTTCTATGGATAGTTACCCAACTTTGATCCTCTAGAGTCACATTGCTCCAGAATCAGGACCATTGATTGGTTGATATCATCAAAGGTAAAAAATTCTCAGTCAGGAACTCATGCTGCAGATACACAGAGGACCTTAATGAAAGTGACGAAAACATTTATACACTAGCAAACGTGCACATTAACATCTCGCCTTTCAGGCTTCCTCAAAATTATGCTTACCGATCCCTTATTGGATAAATAAAAAAAATCAGTTATTTTCACCGTTTCTTATGCTTTGTTTAAATCAAGGAAGGAATGACCAGGAAATTAAAAAAAATATGGATTGTTTATAATTAAGGAAGCAGAATAAAAAATAAAAAGAAATTAATAAAAAAATTGTTATTGATTTGATTAAATAGAAGAATTACGTTAATTGAACATTGATGTAAATTACTAAATTGTTATTGGTTAAATTTAAATAAAATAAAAATAAAAATGGTTATATGTGAAATAATAATTAATTAAAATTTATTTTTATATAATTTTTACATGGTTTAAATAATTAAGACCATATAGAAATTTTAGTTTCACAAAAGTGATATTTTCTAAAAAAGCATATTATAAAAAAATTTAAAATGAAAATTTAAAATTATATATTAATCCAAATATGTGGTGGATTAGACAACTATCTCTTGGAATGTTGGTGTATAGTCCTATTACATTTAATTTTCTCCAACATATAAATCCACTGTATGGGCCCTCCGTCTTCAACTTGTTGTGCAGTGCCTGTCAAATGACCCATGGCACTATTAAGTCCCTATGATTCTTCTAACATGAGTGACCACCATTTTGCTGCTAATGGTTTAGCCTCGAGAAACAAAAACACCAACCATGTAATTTGGCCATTGTTGCGGTTAATTCGTAAAAATGTATTATGTTTACTTAGTGTTAGTAGTAAAAAATACAAATACGCCTGAAAGGATAAGTTGAAGGAAAATATTAAAAATAAAAAATTCACATGTTAAAAATCGATGTGTTAGAAATTGAAAAGATAAAAACCCATATTAAAATGTTAAAAGATTAAAATAATAAAAAAGGATATTAAAGGTAAATTGAGATTGAGACAGTAGATACAATAGAATATTAAAATTGAATTATATAAATAAGATAAAAATCAAGATCATTAGAGATATTGAGAAAAGAAATCGATATCAAAATATAAAAATCAAAAAGATAAAAATTGAGATCAAGAAATTAGATCGAGGGAATATTGAGATCAAATGATAAAGATCAAATGATAGATCAAGAATAGAAATTGAGATCGAATGATAAAGATTGAAAGTGTATAATCAAGATCAAGAGAGATCGAAAAAGGAAAGTAGGATCGAACGATAAAAATCAAAAGTGCTTAAAAATCTAGAATATAAGTAATTGAGGTACTAATCAATATATATTAAAAAATTGAAACCAAAGAACAAAAAGTGATCAAGATATATAAATAAAAAGGATTATAAGATCAAGACTTTTACCGTGATTGAAATATCAATCAAGAAAAAAAGTAAGGTGGTCAAGTAACATCGAAGAAGTAAAGGAGCGAGGGTTCATAAGAAAATCGAAATAAAGACTCAAAGATAAAAATAAAATAAAAAATCGAAGGTGTATCATAGGTAAGTGCAAAATCAAAAAACACATCAACAAAAGTAGATAATATTGTCGAGAACCAAAGACTTTACGGAATTAAGTAATAGTCAAGGAGATATCAAAGAGGACTTATCCATGGTAAATAGACTTTTACAAATATCGAGAGAAGCAAAACATTTATCGATAAAAGGTGAAATACAAGGGGTCAATCATGAAATTGAAGAAGATAAATAGATTAAAAAACAAATTATCCAATCGAGAAAGATAAAAGGATCGAAGAACAAATATGTAAATCGAAGAAGATAAATAATCGAGAGGGAGGTTATGTAATCAACACAAGTCGGGAGCGGTTACAACCCACAATGTATGGATGATTACAAGTACTACGTGTCAAGACAACAACTTAAGAAACAAGGGAAGTAGTTATAGGAGAAAATAACTGCCTATATTTTATTTTAATTATTATTTTTTCTTTTATTATCTTAGCAGTTACATAGAGGAACATATAAATCGGAAAAAAATAAGTATAACTAGAGGTGACAAATTGTTGAAAGATATTTACATTCTCAAAACACACCACGACCACAATCATGTTAGGTATCAGAAAAAAATATAAGCACATACAACTAGAATAAAAAGATGAGAAAAACACCGAAATAGACAAAAGAGTAATTTCACTAATAAAAGAAATTACAACCATTCTCTCTCTACCTCCAAGGAGGAAACAATAACACCCTCTCCCGAAAATAAAGGAAAAACAACTCTAAGAGAACATAAAATGAGAAACTATTTTTCTCTCTTAATTTATCTCTCAAGTACTAAAGCAGCAAGATAAAGAAAAGGAAGTGATTTTTGTGCATCTTACAAGTAAATATTATGTTCCTTTTATAGTAAGAAAAGGAAGCATCAAACTAAGATTTCCCTGATGTGGGACTTTTCTTCTCACAATCTCCTACTTGAAGATTTTGATTATATTAATCAAATCTTCACACCATGCTTACTTTATTTTTTTCATCCATATTGCTTATTTTTCCGCTAGGCCATAGTGAAAGCAATGAAGGGGAGATTGATAGTAATGTGAATTATGTCCCTACATTTTCAAGAGATGATTTTGATGATGATTCAAGTCAACAACATTCAAGACTCAAGCAAGCCCAAGATATGATTTGATAAAGATTCTATTCAAGATTCAAGCAAGTCTAAGATGATTCCTGAAGACTAGATAGAGTCTTAGAATACTGGATATGGACGTACAAGTTGATGAAGTAATATTATGCATAAGCCTCCAAAGCACAAGTATGATAAAATTTCATAACATGACATTTTTCACTGTCATAATTAATTATGATGCATCAAAAATGGAAAAACGATTTTCTCTATCATAATTGATTATACTGGTAACATAATCGATTATGGTAGTTCAAATTTGAAAAATATCTGTTTTGAAGAATAAATGTTTTTTAATATATCCTGATTTTTATCCACAAAATTATTAATGTCCAACGACCATTTTCGGATGCTATTTTTCTATTTATTTAAGTTTTGATAGAAAATAAAAAACACACAATTACAGAATTCAAAAATTCAATTTACATTCAATCAATTTTGAGAAAATAATTTTGAACAATGCAACAAAGATATTTTACCAAAACCCTCTTGTCCATTGCCTACTGTGCTTTCATTGTTAATCACACTTGTTCTTGGAGGTTGGCATTTTACAGACTTCTACAATTTGTTATCTCCATTACCCATGTGTGATTGTTCTTATTTTATTACCTTAATCTTTTGTGGGCTTAAGTGGTTTATTGTTAAATATCCTGTTTAGGGTTTAAGTAGTCACTGTCATTCTGTTGTGTTTTTGGGTTTCCTGTGTGAAATCTATTCATCCCTTTGATTTGTTCAGGGAGGTGTTTTCATCCTTTGATTTGTTCAGATGAGGTATTCATCCCTAGTGGGATTCTAGGGAGGTGTTCATCCTTAGTAGGATTCTAAGGAGGTGTGTTCATCCTTTGATTTGTTCAGAGGAGGTGTTCATCCCTAGTGGGATTCTAGAAAGGTGTTCATCCTTAATGGGTTTCTAAGGAGGTGATTGTTTTTTGAATTAGTTTGTTTTTTGTTGAGTTGATTGTAATTTGTGAACTGAATTTAAAAGATAGTGAATTGGGGTCACTCTTGTGTTAAGAGTTGACTGGGAACTGGATGTAGAGTTAGCTATACTCGAACCAGTATAAATCACTGTATGCTCTTCTCTTTCCCTTATCCCTTTTTCAATGCATTACTCTCATTACACCCCTTATTTTATCTCTATTTTTCTCTATCTTATTGATATTTTATCTCTCTGATTATATCGCTTCCGCTTTATCTTTGTTCAATTTGATAATTAAAATTAAATTAATAAATATTGGACATCTTAAAATAATTTTTTAATTTGACATCTATTTTAATTTGTGCATCTATTCACCCCCTTTAAATGTCATTTGTCTAACACATAGTAGGATCGATCCATAAAAACTTGTCAACAATAACTAGTTTTGTCATAACATATGCTAGGTTCTCATCCGTGTGAATCTTTTACATATTCTCACTACCCTCTTCCATTACTTCTCGAACAAAATGATATCTTATTTCTATGTACTTTGTCCTGGAATGAAAGGCACTCTAACTGTCACAATACGTAACAATTTGTTTTTGCTTGTGCTTGAGTTCCTCCATTATCTTCCTAATCCAAATAGCTTCCTTACATGTCTGGGTGGCCACCATTTACTCAGCTTCTGTAGTAGACAGAGCTACAACATCCTGTAACTTACATAACCAACTTGATGTCCCTCCTACAACTGTAAACACATAACCAGCAGTAAATCTCCTTTTATCCACATCACCTATAAAATTTGAATCAACATAGCCTCTGACAACTAGTTCTGGTCCTCCATAACATAATGCAAAACCTGAGGTTGCTTTGATGTATCTAAGGATCCTCTTTATAGCACTTCAATGCTCTCCACCAGGATTTTCCCATGAATCTACTAACTACTTCCACTGCTTGTGAATGTCGGTCTTGTACAA